CTTGTGCCTCACAAAGGAGAAGTTTGAAGTTTGAAGACTAGTGGACTTCAATTCCCAGAATTCCTCAGCCAGCTTTGCCAGTCCACATCTCTTGTGCCTCACAAAGGAGAAGTTTGAAGTTTGAAGACTAGTGGACTTCAATTCCCAGAATTCCTCAGCCAGCTTTGCTCTTTCCACATCTCTTGTGCCTCACAAAGGAGAAGTTTGAAGTTTGAAGACTAGTGGACTTCAATTCCCAGAATTCCTCAGCCAGCTTTGCTCTTTCCACATCTCTTGTGCCTCACAAAGGAGAAGTTTGAAGTTTGAAGACTAGTGGACTTCAATTCCCAGAATTCCTCAGCCAGCTTTGCTCTTTCCACATCTCTTGTGCCTCACAAAGGAGAAGTTTGAAGTTTGAAGACTAGTGGACTTCAATTCCCAGAATTCCTCAGCCAGCTTTGCTCTTTCCACATCTCTTGTGCCTCACAAAGGAGAAGTTTGAAGTTTGAAGACTAGTGGACTTCAATTCCCAGAATTCCTCAGCCAGCAAAGCTGGCTGGCAAATTCTGGGAGTTGAAGTCCACTAGTCTTCAAACAGCCAAGGTTGGAGACCCCTGCCTTAAAGCACTTGAATAACCAGCCTTTTTGATTGGGCCTGGAAATCTAGCAACCAAAGCAGCATTTTAAAGATAGGGATTATTCTCACATGTCAGGAGTATCTTGCTAGACTATGTTTGGTGCTAACTGTAGCTTTTACTGATAATCCAAGTCTTGATCCCAGGGGAACTTATTTCATAATAGGAGGACCACCACAGAAAACCCCATTTCTTGGTTGGGAACCTTCAGCATCCTAACTAAAATGACATATTAATCTACCAGAAAGTGAACGACTTCCATATTTTAAAAGGGCAATCTGCCTAGAGCTCTCTTTTCTGGAGCAGAATATAAATTCAATGAATGAAAAGATACGTGGATATCAGTTTCTGAGTTTCCCGTGGGAACAGCAGCTAAGAGTTACCAAAGTGAGCTATTTTCCCATCAATAAGTAGAATTTTTCTATGAACAATTGTTCTTAAATGGAAACATTATAGACAACCTTTTATCATTTATGAGGTTACTCTTCTAAATTATCTTCTCCAGGAAGCAAATGTCTTTTTAGAGCAGTATTTTTTATCTATGATATGATACAGCATACTAAATACGATACATTTTCTATAATAATTTAAAATTTCTTAACAAATTGATTAGCATAGTGATTCAACAACGTGATCTGCAAAACTATTTTTTGTGAGATTTATATAGATGGGCATGTGTTATCTTACTGTACTGCTATAGTTATTTGTAGCTGTTTGCTGATCCAATATTTTAGTTGAGCAAAAGTTAGTGGATCCATTAACCTCGTATAGAGGCAAAAGCTTCTTGAAGTGGATTTAGAATTTGAGGGGGGCGGACTGATGTTATGCCAACAGAAATTACAGTGGAGGAATTACAGAAAAATGGCATTGCTTTGTTAAACATATTGAAACAACCATTGACAAAATATACATTCTATACAACGTTCTGATGAAACTTATCTTCCACATGAACCTTGCTTCATTTTAACATTGTATCCCATTGTGGAATTACCTAAAATGTGCTTGCATTTTGTTACCATGAGTTACTGTTTCATAAATTAAAGCTCACAATCCTGACGTCTCATAAATTAACTCATAAAAGTATCTTCTGAGATCAATTATTAATCTTGAATCATCTCTCTGATAAAAAAATTTAACTACCATATTTTTCGGACTATAAGATGCTCCGGACTATAAGATGCACCTAGCTTTTGGGGAGGAAAACAAGAAAAAAAAAATCTTCCTCTGCCTGGTCAGCTTCAGCACAGCCTGATTTAGCACGAGCAGCTGATTGGCGGCTGGATCTGCCTCCCTGAATACTGCCGATCACCTGCTCCAGGCTGCGGGGATCGTCACCACCCATCACTGCCGTTGCCACCCATCGCTCTCGCCACTTATCACCGCCTCTGCGTGGCCCATTTTCGGCCTCCACATGTCCTGTTTTCAGCCCATTCCAGGGTTCCCTGCAGCCACTGCCGCCTATCCCTGCCGCTTGGGATGGGCTGAAAATGGGATGCGCGGAGGTTGAAAATGGGGCATGCGGACACTGAAAATGGGATGTGCAGAGGCTGAAAATAGAGTGCGCGGAGGCTTGATTAGGTGGTGGCAGTGGTAGGTGGTGGCGGTGATGGACGGCGGTGATCCCCACAGCCTGGTACAGCTGATTGGCGGTTTTCCAGGAGGCAGATCCAACCGCCAATCAGCTGCTTATGGTAAATCAGGCTGTGCTGAAGTTGACCAGGATGTTTGTTGTTTGCTGCAAGGAGGCAAATTTCTGGGAGGCAGAGGCCAAAGGGTGGGGGCAGGTGGGTGGGGCTCCGGCAACATTCGGCAATTGAGATTTATTTTTGACAAGACATGCATAAATTTGAATCATGTTGTTTGCACAGGACAAAGAGATAAAAATCATACACAATAATTCACCAAATCACAACCTACAAAGGTATGCAGAAATATCAACAATAGCAAAATGAATTAGTGTAGCAAGAGTAAAAAAAAATGATAACAACAAACAAACCAGGGTCAAGAGGCTAATAAAAGTCCAGAAAGCTACACATCACCTGCATTTTGGAGTAAAAGTTCTTGTTTTAGCATACTTACATTCAGTTGTAAGAAACATTTTTTAAAATCACTACTATATTTACCAAGTTGCACATCCATGTAGATTGATGTACTGTATAGGCCATTCTTGTTTTTTAAATTTTATTCTGTGGTTATATGGATAGAATGCTAATTTATGGTCACATAATTCCAAATTACATGTGTTAAGCAATTATCTATTGCTTATATGTAGCGGGCTATAAAATATTTTCATATCACATGGGTAGCTCAGAACTTTTTTTATATGTATAAAATAAAAGAGCCGAGGTGGTGCAGTGCTTAGGGTGCAGTACTGCAGGCCACTTCAGCTGACTGTTATCTGCAGTTCAGCGGTTCAAATCTAACCCGCTCAGGGTTGACTCAGCCTTCCATCCTTCCGAGGTGGGTGAAATGAGGACCCGGATTGTTGTTGGGGGCGATATGCTGACTCTGTAAACCGCTTAGAGAGGGCTGAAAGCCCCATGAAGCGGTATATAAGTCTAACTGCTATTGCTATTGCTATTCCTAAAATAGTCTTGTAAAAGCTTGAAGAATATAATCTCTGGTTGTGTGTCACATAGCTGTTTCTTTTATGATATGATTAAGGAATATGCAAAGCTAAACAGCTCAATAGCAGAATGCCCCATTCCCTAATATGTACAAGAAATCCAAAATGGCCTTTAAAAACAGACTCCTACATTAAGACTAAAATAATAGTAATAATAACAATAACAACAATAACAATAATAACAATAATAATAATACTCAGCTGCTGTAAAAAAATCGCACAGACTGATTATAAATTGCGGCACAATTCAGTAGCACAAATGATCCATTGGAATTTGTGCAAAAATTATAATATTAAAACAGCAACAAACTGGTGGGAACATCAGCCTGAAAAAGTCACCGAAAATCAGATGGTCAAGATCTTGTGGGACTTCCGTATACAAACGGACAAAATACTGGCGCATAATACACCAGACATCACACTGGTTGAGAAAAACAAGGTTACAATCATAGACATCGCAATACCAGGTGATAGCAGGGTCGCCGAGAAGGAACATGAAAAAATCGCAAGATACCAGGACTTAAAAATCGAAATTCAACGACTATGGCACAAACCAGCAGTGGTAATTCCAGTGGTAATTGGCACACTGGGTGCTATTCCAAAAGCACTGGAATTACATTTAAAACAGTTAAAAATTGACAAAATCACCATCAGTCAAATGCAAAAAGCCGCACTGCTTGGATCTGCACGCATATTACGAAAATACGTTACGACGTCCTAGGCCCCTGGGTGGGGCCCGACTAGTAACCAATGCCAAATCCGGCGAAACAACTGGCCGCTGTGATACAATTGTATAATAATAATAAAAACCCAACCAAACAACCCTTCCATTAATCATGTTAGTTAGGATGTTAGAAATTATATTTATTTCCAATTTTTTTGGGGTAGCCAGATTTTTAGATATATGCTTATCTAGAAGAGCGCTAAGGAAGCTTCATTATTTCTATCGGCGCACAGAGTTGAGTGCCATGTTTTTAGAAGCATCAGTCCTTGGATTCCTCCGTCTCTCCTGTTCTCTTTCTTTCGACACTCTTGCAAGTCAATAGATGTTCTTTTCTTTTCAGCCAAGTAATCCACCCTCCCTGTCTTGATTTGGTATTGGAGAGTGGCAGGGTTGAAAGCAGAGGTGGGGGAACGATGGCCCTTTTATGACTTGTGGACTTCAACTCCCAGAAATCCTGAGCCAACATGGTAGAACATGGCCGGCTCAGGAAGTCTCCAAGTTGAAGTCCACAAGTCAAAAAAAAAAGGGGGGCCATCGTTCCCCATCCCTGAAAGTCTTACTTTATTTTAATCACGCAAGAGCAATCTGCTTTATACATTAAATCAGTCATAAATAATTCAATTTAAAAGGTTTCTGTATAAAAGATGCTCACCATGTCTTATATCTTGCATGTTTCAGATAGCTGTGGCGCAGAAACTTGTAGTGTGTGGACTATCCTTATTATTTCATATGACTGTTAGCAAAACTTTCCCTGTAGAATACAACATTGATGACCAATTCAGAGCAACAGCATCTTTTCCTACAAAGATTATCTACCTATACCTGTCACTAATGGCTGCCAGGCCGAAGTATTATTTTGCATGGACTTTGGGTAAGAGATTTGGGGGGGAGGAAGGGAGGGGGGGGTGTTCCTTTTACAAGTTTTATAACAGATTGCTGAAAGAATATGTTTAATAGGGCGCCCTCTTGTGGGCCAAGGAAAAACTGTGTTCAAATGAATTCTTTTAGAAGCACTAGTTTTTTAAAGGCGAATAAATTGTTTTTATTCAGTATTTTGAGCTCAGATTTAAACTTAAAAAGTATGATTTGTGATAGTGTGGCAGCTAAGGAGAATGTCTTAGGAAAGATTGCTCATGATACTATGATCTATCATTCTTTATTTTGATTGGGAGCCTTTGATGGAAATGATGATTTCCATCTTAATCTAGGTAATAACAAAATTATTAACTTGTTAATGAAATATAAAAAAGTTGTATTTATTTAGTTTATTTATTTAGCTTAAATGAACACTTACGCCAAATTGTTTTGATCATCTTAATTTATATGTCCTTAAATAGACTGCAGGAAATTATTTACATGTGACTTTGAAACCCATTTTTAAAATTTAAATCCAGTTTGTGGAATGGCAAATGAGTCAAGAGGCTATAATGGGTCATACTTAATTTCAACACTGGTACTAATAATGATCCTCCTGTTTTTCTCAATCTGTATTTTAATTTGATACAAAAACATAAAAATAAACGAACTACACTATTCTACTATTGGATAAACATTGATGATTATCTATTTAAAAAGTTAAAAGGGTGTTTTCTCCTTTTAAAAATCCAGTGGTCATGTGAAATTACATGATTTAACACCTTCAATTATCGTAACTTCCAAGAAAAGAATTCCTTGAATAGTTTCACAATTTATTTTTACTATGAAACATTGCCAACATCCAGACTGTATTGAGAAGCCTATAAAAATATGTAAGTGTGGATTCGAATCTGGCTTCAGATTTAGAAAAGAAACATTTATATTCTTTTTAAAACATTCAATTCGAAATGTACTTTTTTCATAATTTGTGTTACATGTTATAGAAATAGGTAGAAATTGAGTTTTGCTAGTCTTTCGTGTTTGGTAATAGCTTTAACCGTAGGTGCAAAATACACTTTTAAAAAGTTCTTTATGAAAAGCAATGCTACCATTTATAATATTTTTATACCGTTCTACAATTCCTTTACTTTTCCTTGCAGCAGAGGCCATTAATAATGCAGCTGGATTTGGCTTTAGAGGTTACGATAAAAACGGAGTCCCACACTGGGATTTGATTTCAAATCTACGAATTCTGCATATAGAGGTTAGTTGAAAACTTTCCAAATTTTCTACTTTGTTGCAGTGTGTTATCCTGATGAATTGAGCTTAATAGGAGTAAGAATTTCATTATCCTTATTGCAATGATGTACAGGTAGTCCTTGACTTACAACAGTTCGCTTAGTGAATGTTTAAATTACAATAGCACTGAAAAAGTGACGTGACCATTGTAGCATCCCCATGCGCATGTGAACAAAACTCAGATGCTTGCCAACTGACTCATATTTATGACGGTTGCAGTGTCCTTGGGGGGGGGGGTCATGTGATCATTTTGTGCGACCTTCTGACAAGCAAAGTCAATGGGGAAGCCAGATTCATTTAACAACCATGTTAGTAACTTAACAAGTGCAATGATTCACTTAAGAACTGTGGCAAGAAAATGGGTCAAAATTCATTTCACAATTGTTTCACTTAATTTTTTTAAATTATGATCCTAAGTCAATGACTACCTGTATTATTTCCACTCCCATATGGGAGTCTTAATAGGTCTCTTAATATAGGTGCTAGAAAATAAAAGCAGAAGGATCTTATTGTATTAAAGTTGTGCTACTGGTTTCTCATAAGCATCTGGACACTATTAAAATAGAGATAGATGGGCCTTTGGTTTGAGCCAATTCAGCTCTTTTATATTCTTTTACATTTACATTTTAAGCTCAACTGTGATCATAAGTTAAAGATTACCTGTATTTAAAAAAAAAGACCAGGAGGTCATTATACCTCCTTATCATCCTTCCTTCCCTTCCCTCCCTCCCTCCCTCCTTCCCTCCCTCCTTCCTTCCCTCCTTCCCTCCCTCCCTCCTTCCTTCCTTCCTTCCCTCCCTCCCTCCTCCCTTCCTCCCTCCTTCCTTCCCTCCCTCCCTCCTTCCTTCCTTCCTTCCCTCCCTCCCTCCTCCCTTCCTCCCTCCTTCCT